TCTCATAAATAGATGTTAAACAATTCTATTTTAACTAATACAATAAAATATGTACTCAGAAAGACTTAACTTCTCAAGTATCATACCGACATAAGGGTCGTCTAGAGAATTGGAGTTTAATTTTCTAAATTATAAATACTTTATCAATTTAACTCTAGAGAAATAGATTATAAAAGTATTTCATCTATACGTAACATGGTTGTCAACCCGCGGGTCAACCCGGATTGGCCCGGACCCGGTAACAAAAACGGTCCCAAATACTCAATGAAGCTTTAACCCGGAAAAGTCAAACCCAGCCGAACCCGGTCAAACCCGGCCAAAACCGGACGGGTTGACCGTCCAAACTATTCCGGGTCCTTCCTTCGCCTGTGTTTTGTTTTTTGTTTTTTTTTTACTTGGGCTTCGCCTGTCTTTTCAGTTTCTTTCTTTGGGACTTTTTTTTTCTAACTCTTTGGAACTTGTACAAAGGAAACATAATTACTTATCTGTGGGGAAAAGGAAAAGGTAAAAACAGAAACATAATTACTTATATTTTTACTAAAACTAGACAATTGTGCATATAAAAAAATAATGATAAGTACTAGATAGGGTTTTGTAGATGGAGTGAAATTTTATTAAATGGTATCTTAAATTAAAGGGTAAATACAATTTAATATCCAAACCTTTCATTTTAAACAATATAATAGCCAAACCTTTTCGAAAACAATCTAATATCCCAATCGTCAACTTTCTGTCTGTTTGACCGTTAGTTGACACTTCAAAAAAGTTCGAAGTACGACACTTCATCAATATTCATCGATATTTTCTCTAAAAAACCACCAACATATCGTAGTTCCAAACCCGAGAAGTCCATGACTCCACCATGATGGTATAGAATATCTAAATACTTAGTCATCTGCAATGCCAAAACAAGAAAACAAAGTTGTATTGCAACAATTTCTCCTAAACAAAACTTTTTTGAAGTGTCAACTAACGGTCAAACGAACGAAAAGTTGACGATTTGGATATTAGATTGTTTTCGAAAAGGTTTGGCTATTATATTGTTTAAAATGAAATGTTTGGATATTAAATTGTATTTACCCTAAAGTAAACTATATTTTTACTTCTTCAAATATCAAATTATTACATTTGTGTATGTATAATTTTTTTAAATATGATAACCGGGCTAATCCGGTCACCCCATTAGCCTTTGACCCACTAGCTCGACCGGGTTCGGATTGACCCACGGGTTGACAACCTTGATACGTAGCCATCTACCATATCTATGAAATATGATTTTGTGTAGCAAATTGTGGGACACCTACAAGACATCCTATATGAAATCCTTGTTTTGCATGAGCGAAGACTTCATACTTCATAGGTAAGTAAGCGCTTGTTCCTCGGAAAGGAAAAGGGTAAGAAAGTCACCAAAAGAGGATAGAGAGATGTCGCTACGGCTACCAATTTGGCCAATTTGCTTCAAATGGATTGAATTCCATTCCACTGCCCACCAACCATGCCACTTGCTCTTTGGAGATAATGCCTACGGGCTACGAACGTCCTTCCTCCTACCTTCTTCAGTCAAAATGAAGTCAATAATGGTTAAACCGCAACTGAGATTGTACTGAAAATTTAGATAAAATATTTTGTGATGAAATCGAGATTCAAAATTATCATGAATGACATTTTGGTTTTCACAATTACTTTTTTTTATTCATTAAAAAGATACGTACCTGGATTTGAACCATGACCATTTTAAAGAAAAGCAAGGATAATAACCAATCACACTAAGTACATTTGTTATATTTTTTTAAATTAAAAATATATAATAGCAGGGAGGAAAAAACCCTTTCCCCATTTCAAATTCCCTGCTCCATGAGCGTTTGTAGGAATGGTAGAATAGGGAGTGTCAAATTTTTTTTCTCTTTCCTCTGTGGAACGGGCCAACTTACCGTACACATGCGAATTTAAACGGGTCCAGTAGTGTCAATTTTTTTTCTTTAAGCCCTTTTATTTCTCCGTGGTGATAAAATATATATATGAAAAGCAAAAAATAATACTCCTTTTTATTGTTAAAAATAAAAATTTTAACAATAAACTAATGCATGGTATCTAATGGGCTAACCGCTAACCATAAAATAAAAGAGTTGAATGGGCCTGACCTACATGGGATTTGGCCATCAAGTAAAACAAATGAACATCATTGGTTTGCCATTCTAAAACAAGCTATTTTCTCTGGCATAATATATATTATGCAATTATTTTATATCTTAGTGGCTAAAATATAATGTATTTTAAAGTTATTCAATGGTTCAACCTCGACCAACCAATTAGTCCAATTTTTATCATTTCAAATATATATTTTATAATTCTTTGATATCATAATGATCAAATTATAGTGTATTTTATAGGGAATCGTTTGGTATTTGTTAGTAAAAAACTAAACATAAAGATCTATTTGGTTATTTTAAACATTAAAACGATCCTAAACATTTTCAGTTTCTTTTGAATTTCTATGGTTTTATTCCCGAACAAGTGATGTGCAAATGGCGAATTGTAGTCGTTTCTTTTCTTTCACTATTTTTTATTTTCAAATAGAAAGTTTAAAAGTAAAGAATAATTAGAATTTGGCATGGGTTGGTCAAACGGGCTGAATTTCAAGTTTTGGCCCGTTTGTTTTATGCATTGCAAATTTATTAGCATGTTGATGGAAATGGCTTGGAAAAAAGACATATAAGTTGTACCTTTGCAGAAATGTCCTCAAATGTTTGAATGCTTTGTGAATCAGGTTCCGTGACTTTTGTGATGGTGTATGTGCTTGACAATTGCTCGATGTTGGAACTACTTAATTTGAGAGTAAATCTTTTGATTTACCCTATGAGTTGTGATACCAGTTCTGGTGGTTGTAGCATGTTGTCGTTGTTGGCCTGTAAAAGTTGTTCCGCCGTGTTGCTAAATTCCTTTCTTTCTTTTTTAACAAATTGTGTAGTAGTGCTATGAAACAGACCACCCATGAACGCTACGCTTATTATGGTCTGTTCTTACTTCCGGTGGTGAGAAATTGTGAATTGAGAATCATATTCGCCTACCGCACTGTGTCTGGCTGGTGGCTGCTTACTGTGCTCTCTAGAGTTATGAAACAGCCTACCCATGAACGTTACCCTTAAGAGTCCATAACGTTGCGAAAAACCAAATTTAGGCAATCAAAGGTGGTGGATGTGTGATTATTTTTTATGGCTTAATTGTTTGTGAATTGGATATCTGATCTTTGTATGATTAGAGGGGATGTTTGCTTAATAGAATAATCCATTTTAATTCATATTTATTTTTAACATGAACTTTAGTAACTCAAAACCTTCGAGACACATATCACCTACTGCATTGTATCATTTTGCCTGGGTGCTTGCTGTGTTGTCAAACTTCTTTGCTGCTGCTGCATTTACACTAACAGGGGAGTTAAGAACCCATGAATGTTTCCGTTTGACACAAACAAGAGGACTTGCTTCTAAATCGTGCACTAAAGATGATTGGAGGAAACATCTCTGTTGCAGTTGATATATTGGAGACCATAACAAAAGCAATGTATAACATCAAAACCAACCATCTGAACTATTAGCATTGTTGCTTTACTCTTTTTTTGTGGTTGAGTCTCCTTCAAAAAATTTAGTTTGATTTTAGAAAATTTTGCTTCTGCAGTCCTGTCTTGCCACCAATGCGTTCAGTAGATGGAGATGGCAGAGGCGAAGGCTATTTTTGTGTTGTTGTTGCTGGTTTAGGGATTGGTTTGTGAAGAAGAGGGAGAAGAGAGGGGGGAAGAGAAATGCAGGAGAGGGGGATAACTCTTTTCTCCGACAAAAATGGAGTGAAGAAAGGAATTATGATCAGTAAGGATATGGTTATCTTACATAACGGTCTCTATTCTGTTTGAATTGAGCTTGGGAGGCAGTGATAAGGACGAGCTGCAACCAATTCATAGTGATAAGAGTGCTATGAACTGTGATCATGTCTTATTTCAAGTTAGAAGGTAGTTTCAGTATAAGGATTATTTAATTTGACAAGTTGTTTCGTCCATGATTCTTGGTAGTTTCAGTGCCATTCTAGCCATTGTTTAGTCTGTAATTTTTTAGAATTGATGTGCGAGTAATGACTTTCACTTAGCTTCAACTATTATGTGTGTATTTATTGGCATGTGATAGAATTCTCTTTTCCTTTTCTTTGAATTCAGTTTCATACTCAAATTGTATCATTTGTACATAGGCAAATCATGCTAGAGATGACAACTCGCTGATATGGCTGGTGCATGGAATGAAGCCATCATTAGAATTCAGACCGAAAACGGGGAGGGATGCCTAGGACTAATTCAATGATGATTGATGATGGTATAATAAAAACTGCAGTCTACATCAGCACCAATTTCTAGGCCTAAGTAAAGTTATTCAACCCAGAACTCTGCTTAGCGCTAAAAATTGCCCTCACCCAACCTTGATCCTGTTTGACCCACTTCTGAAGAGTCAAGATATATGACTAATCCTCTTCGTTCGTATTTTCTTATTGACTCTTTCTGACCCTTTAGGTTGGGGCGGGTCGGGAAGAATCGGATTAGTGGGTTGGTCCTAATCAAGTGGAATCTCAATCCCTTCACTCTCACTTGCTTTCTCTCCCATTCCACAAGTGGGTAACATACAGTAATCCGGCCAACGGGCCGGGTAATAAGCTAGTAATTATTAAACCGCAACGAAGATTGTACCGAAAATTTCGATAAGATATTTTGTGATGAAATCAAGATTCAAAATTATCGTCCCACACATAATAAACCAAAAAGTTAGTTTAAATCACCAATCTACCACCATAAGCCCATATAATCGGCCTACCCGTCATCCCTAAACCTGTAACCCAATGAAACTTCTACAGTTTGGGCCCGTTCGTCGAAGCCCAATTACGGTTCCTTCTGGCTATTCATTAGAGGCTCAAGCTGACCATACAAGCCCAACAACACCAATGCCTTCCCCGCCGTTCTTTTTTTTTTTTTTGCCGCCTTATCTTCTCCCCAAACTCCCACAATCCGCCGGAAGGGGAAATCGAATTTTCCAACGGTTCAAAATTTCCCTTCATTTTCGCAACAATGGAGGCGACCTGGGTCACCAAATTCCCGCTATCCTCCGCCGCACTGACCAATTACCCGCCGCCGATCACCGCTTCACTTCCCATTTCCAGACGAACCCTATTCAGGTCAAGCGAATCCCGCCATTGGGTTTCTTACGGAATCCACAGCGTTACTCACTACCCATTACCTAAATTGACTCGAAGGCTGTTTCTTCCTTCCGTTTCCGGCATATGGGATGCGATAACCGGCGGAGATAAAGCCAGGGAAGCTGTTCTGGCCGTCCGTCGGGGAATGCTGCTCTTTCGACAAGTAAATTTGACAACGTATTAGCTCAGTGAATTCCCGTTGAAATCTTCTTTTTTAGTTTCCTAATCTTGCTCTTTGTTTTGGTTATTGGTGAAGGGAGATGTGGTTGGTTCCTTAGCGGAATTCGATAAGGCGATTGAGTTGGATCCTCGTCAGAAGGCATGTAGGTCCATTTATTTTTTCTTCCTGATACAATTTGAATGGTTCGTTTGTTTCTGGGGGGTGGGCAATAGTTTGTTTCGCTCCAGAATCGAATGGATATTTGATCCGTTAGGGATCAGAAAGATAATGAAGGGGAAAAGAGGATCGAGAATGTATCCGAAAAGGTTACGTCCAGTTTTGATTCGACCCGTTTAATTCTATTTTGTTCTTAAGAGGTCCTCATTGAATTGAAACAAATAATTCCCATAATGAATTGCAACTGAGCCAATGCATTGACCTTCTCGATTCGATCCAAAGGTCGATCCGGTCTATACTGAGAACCAAAATTGCAGCTATCTCCTATTTGTTTGTATGGTTTATTGACAGGAAGTTTGAGTCTTTATGGATATTGGTTCTTCTCCCTTTCCTTATGGATGAATTGGGAGTTTCTTTTCAGATATGTGGCAAAGGGGATTATCTCTTTACTATCTGGACAGGTACTAACTTCTCTTTATTGCTCAGTTGTTCCTCTTTATTATTTTTTGCTGAATATTGTTCCTCTTTATCTTATGTTTGGTTAACTAGGAAAATAGGAATATTGAGCAGAACGGAGAACAAGGGTAAATAAACTTTTGCAAACAATTGAATGTGGAATACGATCTTATGCAATTAGGTTCGAAGAAGGCGCAGAGCAATTCCGGCTTGATGTTGCGATGAACCCAAATGACACAGAGGAATCTATCTGGTGCTTTCTTTGTGAAGCTCAGTTGTTTGGTGTTCATGAGGCAAGGAAGCAATTTCTCGAGGTAAATCTTGTGTATAAACTGAGGTTTTAACCTTTGACTATGTTAAGTTAAGCTAGCAGCTTTGTTCTGATCTTGTAGCTGTTTTCTTAGTTACTGAAGCAATGGACGGATGTATGTGTTTTAACTGGTTTGTAGCTGAATGCAGGTTGGTAGAGATCCGCGGCCAGTCATGAGAGAAGCTTACAATATGTTTAGAGATGGTGGCGATCCGGAGAAGGTATTCAACATCTATCCTGTTTTCACAAGTTATCCACTTGGCATAGTTCATTCGGGGTATACTAACTTGCAAGTATTTGCACGAAATGATTTTTCTCATCCGTTAGTGGACTCTACTAGGGGTACACATTGTTCAATCCATAGAGTATAGTGCGGTCTGATAGTTTCTGATCATTGTTATCCTAATGGGGATTGTTAAGTTCAAAATCCATTTACTCGTATACATATGCTCGAAGGGATGTTTTAGCTGAAGTTCATCTTTGTGCATAGTTTGCAGCTGCATTTTCCAATGGCCGCGAGAATGAGTACTTCTACGCCTCTCTATACACTGGACTTTACCATGAATGCCAGGTTTACACTCCTCTTTGTGAATCCTCTGTCATGACATTGACTTGTTTTCTTAAACAAGAAGTTTCTTTGTGTCTTTTTTGGCAGAAAGAAGCAGATTCAGCTAAGTTCCATCTGGTTGCAGCTTGCAAGTCTGTATATGGGAAAAAGTAGTTAACTAATACCATCTAATGTTTGTTTATGTTTACCTTTTTACTTGATTTTTAATAACTAAAGAGTTTTGACAATTGGTGGCGATTTGCAGATCTGATGACTATATGGCTTCTCTTGCTAAAGTTCACTGTCAATGTAGAAATTGGAGCATTGACTAAAAGAGTGAAGAACAAAGAAGGTAAATGGTTTCTTCAGAATGTCAAAATAGATGCTGACTAGAAATGTTCAGTAATCAGGATTATTATAATGCTATGATTTGCTGATGTGAGTTTAGTTAGGTACAGAATGGTTCAACCAAATGATATTGCAGTTGCAAAATAAAGTTTCTTTATGGTTCGTTGTTGTTTCCTCACATGGGTTAGGCATGATTAACATGATGGAAAATATCAAAATGATGCTAGAATCGAGTCAAAGACGAGGAGAAATGTGAAGCATAACCGGATTGAATCTTTCTACGATCAAACCAGTCCGATTCGGTCTAATACACTGAACCCTTACTCGACCTATATGAAATGTATTTCGGTTTAGAGTTTCTATCGGTATAACTAAAATTATATTGCATGTATTATGGTTGTTTTGCAGTTAATTATTATAGCACATCTCCATTGATCTACATTTAGACTAGCATATTTTGGTTCCTTTTTGGTATGCATACATCATTTTCATCGAAAGGAAACCCTTTACCTGACCTGAAATGAACAACCATTTGAATTTGATAGGTCAATCATTGGTTGCTTGGTTACGTCATGGTTGTTGAGCTTTCTTTCTTGGTTGAGCAGAAAGCGCTCATGCTTTGATACAAGTTCTCTGCCTCTCCAGTGTCCACCATGATGTAATTCCCGAGCTGTCCAACTGGAGTCAAGGGAAAATTGGATAGTCGGATCAGGTGATTCAGCCCAAACGAACAGGTCTGTTGAGAGAGAGAGAGAGAGAGAGAGAGAGAGAGAGAGAGAGAGAGAGAGAGGCAATTCAATGTCACTTGTAAATAACATTATTGTTTTATGATTTGTAATGTTTTCTCATCTGGATTTGTAACGTCTCTGTGTTTAATAAAAACTATTGTACCTGCCGGTCAGACTGAAAATACTAGATACTGGGTCTAAATTGGTAGGTGGTTTTAGTGGTGCAAAGATGGTTCTTGCACAAGGTCAGTAAAATCATGTGTTGTCAAAACCGAACCGGACATCGATCCGGATTAATAAGAGGTTTAAAGTTTATTGGATAACTGTTGATTAATCGGTATTAAAAATCGGTCATTAACCGGTACTTGGCTCTAGATAAAAAAAAAACAATAGAGCAAGAATAAAAAAAATATTCAAAACAGCAAAAAAGTCAAAACTGGTAACTTTTTCTTCTTCTCGTTGCTTTTGTTTCTTATTTTATTTTATTTATTAACTAAATGAATGCAAAATGGCAAGCGCCCCTTTACTTATACCCAGCCGCCCGTTTATATGCTACCGGGACCGGACTTGTGTCCGGGTCCAGTTTATTTCTGGTCTGATCGGCCAGTTCGATCCGGTTTTCATAACATGGGTAAAACCTATATCATTTTAACTGAACAAGAAGATGGTTGTTAAATTTGAGGGTCGAACGTTGTTCCGTGTGGTTGACCTATTCTCTAGAATGGTCGACCTCTTATTGATATGGTCAACCACTTTGTTGGAAAGGTCGATCGTTCTGTTTATGAGTCCATTTAGCTTGGTCAACCGGTCCAGGTTGAAGGTCAACCACAATCTTTCATAGGAATGATCACATTGGTGTAATCAGTCGACCGCAACCATTTATCAATTAACTGTTTTGTTCGAATAATTATGATTTGCAATTCACCATAGACATATAAATTTTTAGTTTAATGGCTAATTCGCACTCTTAAAGCTTGCACTCTTAAACAATGAAATTTGACTAAAAGCTTCTTGTACGATTACTTGACTCTCAAATTCATTCTTATATAGTTACATCGTGGCCAAATTAACGAAGTAATGACTAGTTGGGACTTGGGAAAGGAAGTCATGTGGCCAGCTTTGCTGATCGGTGCTTGCAATATATATTTATTTATAGGATAAAATACCTCGGATACCACTTAAATTTCAGAATTGGGGCAGACATACCACTTAACTTTGAATAGGGCGTCGGGTATCACTGAACTCTATTATTTGTGCACCCGGTACCACTTAAGTTTAATGCTAAGTGCATTCCGGTAAAGTTAACAGAATATTCTTGGAATATTCGGTTTACTAAATTTCTTAATTGGTCATTCTACTTTTCTTATTGTAAAATTTCATTTTGACTTATGAAAAACATCAATTTTTATTATTTAATTGGTATCCTCTTTTGAAAACTTGATACCAAATTAATTTTTGAATAAAAAATTTAAAATCAATTATCATTATAATTATTTTCAATTATCATTATGTTTTCTAATAATTGAATTATTCTCTTTTTTTTTTAGATTTTGATACCAAACCAATTTTTGAATAGGAAATATAGAATCAATTATCATTATAAGTACTTTAAATTACCATTATGTGTTATAATAATGGAATAATTTTCTTAAACAAATATATCCTATGAATTTTATATCGATATAAATAATATGAGGATGTTATATTTAATTCTCGTACATCATTTGGATGTTGTATAATTTTCTTGGTTACTTTCATTCTATTTTCGTTCTAAATTTTCTTCAATTACTGTAATATGTTTAATTCTTTCTGAATATGTTTCATTTATACTTCTTTGGTCTTGATGTATCGATGATCGATTAGATTCTATTTTAACTATTTTTAATGGTACTTCTTATCGGATTGGTGATTTAAATAGATCTTCTAATATTGATTTTAAATATTTATTATTATATTCTATATATTGACTTTAAATATTTATTATTATATTCTATATATTTATTCTTCTTCTTGATATTTTTTTATTGTTTTTACTAACTTATCCATTTTATTGAAAATTTTGATTAGTCATTTTAGTAATATTATGTTTAGAAGGTTTTTTAATTTCTATATTAGATAAAAACTTGTTGGAATATAGTTTTGGATGTTTTTAAAAGTTTTGGGTACCGAAAAGTAATTAAAATTTTGGGTTGGATGGAAAACTAGACGGATGCACATTTTGGTGACTTTAATGGTACCTGATGCCCTATTCAAATTTAAGTGGTATGTCTGCTCCAATTCTCAAACTTTAGTGGTACCCGAGGTATTTTACCCTTTATTCATATACATTAACCTTTTCTTGTCACAAACACTAATAATGGGTTCGGCACGACCAAAATTCTAATTTGATTGTTTGTACAGATTTTGTTTTCCTTTCTCTGTAAAATCCTTCTTCTAAATTATTGGTGGTTCGAGATATAAATTGGGGTTGTACATTTTTTATGAGACAATCCAAATACCACATCGGTAATACAAGGGAAGTGACCCTTGTATATTAGTGTTTGTCAAGCTCATTAGTACGAGGCCTTTTGGGGAAGGACACCCAAAAGTAAAACCGCGCGGGCTTGGCCCAAAGCAGATAATATCGTACTAATTGAGCTCCCCAGTTATAACAAGTGGTATCAGAGTCTGGTTCGGTTCGGGGCGGTGGACATCAGTTTGGTGGGACCCTCATTCAGTGGCCTCGCGATTTGAGATCTGCGTTTGTCTGGCGGGTCAAAGGTGATTCGCGTCTGTTTGGTGGATCTAGTAGAGATCCACGTTTGGGCTATCTGGTCTGGCGGATCGAGGGATGTCCGCGTTTGTCAAGTGGAGAGATCCACGTTTGTTTGGCGTCGATACAAGGTGTCTAGCGGATCAAGATAATCGCTGAGGAGAGGACACGAAGTTCGTGGTCCTTGGCTTGAGGGGAGGATTGTTATAGGACAATCCAAGTACCACATCAATAATACAAGGGAAGAAACTCTTGTATAAAAGTGTCCAAGTAGCCCAATTAGTAAGAGAGGCCTTTTGGGGAGTATACCCAAGAGTAAAACTGTGGGTGCTCCACCAAATAGACGCAAATCACCTTTGACCCGTCAGACAAACGCATATCTCAAATCCCGAGGCCATCGAACGAGGGTCCCACCAAACTTACGTCCACCACCCTGAGCCGAACCAAGCTCTGATACCACTTGTCATAATCGAGGGTGCTCAATTAGTACGATATTGTCCGCTTTGGGCCAAGCCCGCACGGATTTACTTTTAGGTGTCCTTCCCCAAAAGGCCTCGTACTAATGAGCTTGGTGGACACTAATATACAAGGGTCACTTACCTTGTATTACCGATGTGGTACTTGGCTTGTCCCATAACAATCCTCCCCTCAAGCCAAGGACCACGAACATCGTGTCCTCACCTTAGCGATTATCTTGACCCGCCAGACACCTTGTATCGACGAGCTTCTCGTTACAAGGATTTTTTCCAGATGTGGAACTCTCTTTGATCTGCCAAACAGACGTGGATCTCTCCTGGATCCACCAAACAGCCCAGATGCAGAACTCTCTTTCATTTGCCAAACAAACGCGGATCGCAAATCCCGAGGCGACCAAACAAGGGTCCCACCAAACTGACGTCCACCGCCCCAGATCCGCCGAACCAGGCTCTGATACCACTTGTAAGAACATTGCAGCCCATTAGTACGATATTGTCCGCTTTGGGTCAAGCCCGCACGGTTTTACTCTTGGGTGTACTCTCCAAAAGGCCTCTTACTAATAAGCTTGGTGGACACTAATATACAAGGGTTCCTTCCCTTGTATTACCGATGTGGTACTTGGATTGTCTCATAACAATCCTCCCCTCAAGACAAGGACCACGAAATTCGTGCCCTCACCTCAGCGATTATCTTGATATGCCAAACGCCTTGTATCGATGTGCTTCTCAGTACAAGGACTTTATCAGACGCAGAACTCTCTTTGATCTGCTTCTCAAATGCGGAACTCTATTTGATCCGCCAAAGCCCAAACGTGAATCGCTCCTGGATCCACCAAACAAACGTGAATCACCTTTGACCCGCCAGACAAATGCAGATCTCAAATCCCGAGGCCACCGAATGAGGGTCCCACCAAACTGACGTCTACCGCCCCACACCGAGCCAGGCTCTAATACCGTTTGTCGAACTGGGGCAACTCAATTAGTACGATATTGTCCGCTTTGGACCAAGCCCGCACGGTTTTACTCTTGGGTTTCCTCCCCAAAAGGCCTCGTACTAATTGGGCTAGGTGGACACTAATATACAAGGGTTCCTTCCCTTGCATTTCCGATGTAGTACTTGGATTCTCGCATAACAATCCTCCCCTCAAGACAAGGACCACAAACATCGTGTACTCACCTTAGCGATTATCTTGATCCGCCAGACACCTTGTATCGATGGGCTTCTCGTTACAAGGATTATTCCAGACGCGGAACTCTTTTGATCTGCCAAATCAAATGCGGATCTCCCTTGATCCGCCAAACCAGATGTAGCCCAAACGTGGATCTCTCGTGGATCCACCAAACCAGACGCAGATCTCAAATCCCGAGGCCACTGAATGAGCGTCCACCAAACTGACGTCCACCGCCATGAACCCGAACCAGATTCTGATACTACTTGTAAGAACAGGGTAGCCCATTAGTATGATATTGTCTGCTTTGGATCAAGCCCGCACCAAACTGATTTTTCCAGGCGCGGAACTCTTTTGATCTGCCAAATCAAATGCGGATCTCGCTTGATCCGCCAAACCAAATGTAGCCCAAACGTGGATCTCTCGTGGATCCACCAAACCAGACGCATATCTCAAATCCCGAGGCCACCGAATGAGGGTCCACCAAATTGACGTCCACCGCCCTGAACCCGAACCACGCTCTAATACTACTTGTAAGAACAGGGCAACCCATTAGTACGATGTTCTTCGCTTTGGGTCAAGCCCGCACGGTTTTACTCTTGGGTGTACTCCCCAAAAGGCTTCTCTTACTAATTGGGCTAGGTGGACACTTTTATACAAGGGTTCCTTCCCTTGTATTACCGATGTGGTACTTGGATTGTCCCATAACAACATTAATTTTGGTTTGTATGATAAAAGAATATGTACTATTATGTTATGTATATGCTTAATTTGTATCGTAATATAAAGATACAAATTTAGTTTCTACTGTGAAAAAATTTGTATAAAAATGTATATGTACAAACTGAATTTGTAAAATAACGTTAAACGTACAAGTTCAGTTTGTATCACAAATAGATTTGTACCAAATAAATGCATATAAT